GTTGCATTCAAATCACCCCTGACAGTTGGCCATCCAGCCTCTGTTTAAAAGCTTCCAAAGAAGGAGCCTCCACCACACTCCGGGGCAGAGAGTTCCACTGCTGAAGCTCTCACAGTCAGGAAGTTCTTCCTCATGTTCAGATGGAATCTCCTTTCTTGTAGTTTGAAGCCATTGTTCCATGTCCCAGTCTCCAAGGAAGCAGAAAACAAGCTTGCTCCCTCCTCCCTGTGGCTTCCTCTCACATATTTATACATGGCTGTCATATCTCCTCTCAGCCTTCTCTTCTTCAGGCTAAACATGCCCAGCTCCTTAAGCCGCTCCTCATAGGGCTTGTTCTCCAGACCCTTGATCATTTTAGTCGCCCTCTTCCGGATACATTCCCGCTTGTCAATATCTCTCTTGAATTGTGGTGCCCAGAATTGGACACAATATTCCAGGTGTGGTCTAACCAAAGCGGAATAGAGGGGTAGCATTACTTCCCTAGATCTAGACACTATGCTCCTATTGATGCAGGCCAAAATCCCATTGGCTTTTTTTGCCGCCACATCACATTGTTGGCTCATGTTTAACTTGCTGTCCACGAGGACTCCAAGATCTTTTTCACACAAATGCATCCGGCTTCGTTCTCCATCAGTCACTTCACACATCTCCAAATGCGGTGGCCTTCAAATCTTCAACCTGCTTCATTTGAAAACCAATAATACGCAAGATCATGCAGGAATTTTGTCAGGATAGGTGGTTGTAGGTTTTTTTGGGCTATATGGACATGTTCTATGTGGAAGGCAAAAGTGGAAGGCAAAAGGAAGAGGGGCCGACCAAGGGCAAGATGGATGGATGGCATCCTTGAAGTGACTGGACTGACCTTGAGGGAGCTGGGGGTGGTAACGGCCGACAGGGAGCTCTGGCGTGGGCTGGTCCATGAGGTCACGAAGAGTCGGAGACGACTGAACGAATGAACAACAATGGAAATGTTAGAGGCATTCTCTCCTGCCGTTTCGCCTGCATCTATGGCAAGCATCCTCAGAGGTAGTGAGACCTCACAACAGACCTCACAACCTCTGAGGATGCCTGCCCTAGATGTGGGCAAAATGTCAGGAGAGAATGCTTCTGGCACATAGCCATACAGTTCAGAAAACTCACAACAACCTACATTTTGAACTTTGTTTGCAGCAACTGAACTGGATAGGAAGTAGTGGGAGGAAAGAGAAATTGGGCCATAAAAGCAGCTGAAAATGTGGGGCAACAGAGTGTTCCTTGGGATTGTCCTGCCAAAGAAGGACTGAGCTGTATCGTCGAAGGCTTTCATGGCCGGAATCACTTGGTTGTTGTAGGTTTTTTCGGGCTAATGGCCATGTTCTAGAAGCATTCTCTCCTGACGTTTTGCCTGCATCTATGGCAAGCATCCTCACTACATCTGAGGATGCTTGCCATAGATGCAGGCGAAACGTCAGGAGAGAATTCCTCTAGGACATAGCCATATAGCCCAAAAAAACCCTACAACAACCCAAGGACTGGGCTCCTTTGCCTTCCCTTGCTGTGTACCCAGGGCCTCTTCCTTGCCCTTCTACTCCAGCGATTAAACCAAGTTGTTTTATGGGTCTTCCCCTCCCTGTTTAGCCCAGTTAACCAGCCCAGCTGTATGCTAATGGAGAGCAAACACCGTTTCAGTTGCTCTCCCTCTCTTGCATTAAGTTGGCGGAGGCCGGGATCTATTGTTCGAGCCCTCCTTGCTTGCCTTCTTCCCTGCCCCCTTTTACCCATTGTACATGTGAAGGGAGCAAAGACATTGCCCAGATTACCAGTTCAAATGGCACTCAGCTGCAAAACACCCTTTGCTTTTGAAGCAAAGTTTAGGGCAGCTGCCTTTCCAGAGCCCAACCTAACCTTTCCCCCCTTCCAACTTCTGCCTTTGTTTACTGGGTTTTCAGTGTGAGCCCCATCTCACCCTCAGCTGCAATGGAGGAGAAAGAAAGAATGTATGAAAGAAAGGAAGAGAGGGAGACAGGCAGCAGATGCCAGGAATTACCTATGTAAATAAGAAAGTGCAGCCAGGCAGGTGGCAGGGATAGGGAGGTGGGGCCGCGCTTGCTTGCTCTCTTGGCGCAGGTTCAGGCAGCAGTTGGAGGTGAATCACCGACAGGCGGGAGGGTTGTGTTGTTGTTTTTGCTGGAACACGGGCAGCAAGCAGGTTGAAGCAGGCGCCTCGGCTACCTGGGGGACCAGCATGGGGGGCAGGCCTGGCTCGCGCCGGAGCGCAAGCACCTCACGCAGTGGCGAGTGTAGCCACAGCCCATTGCCTTGGGCACAGGGAGGTGCCCGCAGAAAATGCCTAGCTGCATCATTATGTTTGCAATCTGTACCTGAAACAGTACAAAACTGGGCATCTGTAAGCGATAGTTAAGGTCCCGAAGGCTTCAATTATTATTATCTATATATATAAATGCTCTGTGCATAATGAGTGCCTGAAAAACAAAAGAACCAATGAACGAAATCACACCAAATTTGGCAACAAAACATCTCACAACACAAGGAGCGACCATCACTCAAAAAATTATGATTTTGTCATTTGGGAGTTGTAGTTGCTGGGATTTATAGTTCACCTACAATCAAAGAGCATTCTGGACTCCATCAATGATGGAATTGAACCAAACTTGGCACACAGGACTCTCATGACCAACAGAAAATACTGGAAGGGTTTGGTGGGCATTGACTTTGGGTTTGGGAGTTGTAGTTCACCTATATCCAGAGAGCACTGTGGACTCAAACAATGATTGATCTGGACCAAACTCTACATGAATACTCAATATGCCCAAATATAAACACAGATGAAGTTTGGGGGAAATAGACCTTGAGATTTGGGAGTTGTAGTTACTGGGATTTATAGTTCACCTGCTATCAAGGAGCATTCCGAACCCCACCAACGATGGAATTGGGCCAAACATCCCACACAGAACCCCCATGACCAACAGAAAATATTGTGTTTTCTTATGGTCTTTGGTGACCCTTCTGACAGCCCCCTGGTGACCCCTCCCCTGGGGTCTTGACTTCCCAGGTTGAGAAATGCTGTCTTAAGGCCATCCAGTCCAACTCCCTTCACCAGGGCAAAAAAACATAATCAAAGCCCTCCTGACAAAGGGCCATCCAGCCATTCACACACACACACACACACACACACACACACACACACACACACGTGTATATGACAGATGCAGTATCAAAGATTTGAAAGGGACCCCTAAAGAAGGACAATGATATGTTGCATGTTCCAGAGTAGGCAAACCAGACACTCTCCACATCAACACTGGCAAAGAAACAGCAAGAAATACTGTTTACCCACAAGCAGAAAGAATTACATATATTAGAAACCAACACTTTCTCATTACTTTATTTTCCAGATCAACAGACTGGGCCACAGCAACGCGTGGCAGGGGACAGCTAGTATCTATCTATATATAAATATGCACTGTGCATAATGAGTACCTTAAAAACAAAGAACCAATGAACGAAATCACACCAAATTTGGCAACAAAACATCTCACAACACAAGGAGTGACCATCACTCAAAAATTATGATTTTGTCATTTGGGAGTTGTAGATGCTGGGATTTATAGTTCACCTACAATCAAAGAGCATTCTGGACTCCATCAATGATGGAATTGAACCAAACTTGGCACACAGAACTCCCCTGACCAACAGAAAATACTGGAAGGGTTTAGTGGGCAGTTCAAAAACATGCAAGTGTGAGTAGAGCAATAGGTACAGCTTCGGTGGGAAGGTAATGGCGCTCCATGCAGTCATGCCGGCCACATGACCTTGGAGGTGTCTATGGACAACGCTGCCTCTTCGGCTTAGAAATTGAGATGACCACCACCCTCCAGAGTCGGACACAACTGGACTTTATGTCAGGGGAAAACCTTTACCTTTACCTAATGTAATTGTCAGCAGGACTTCGGCCTCTTAGGAAAGTATCTAGAATAACAGAAAGCCTTCTTTTTAATCTCTTCTTGGTGGAAAATGACACATTTCATAGAATCATAGAATCATAGAAACAAAGAGTTGGAAAAGACCTCATGGGCCATCCAGTCCAACCCCATTCTGCCAAGAAGCAGGAATATTGCATTCAAATCACCCCTGACAGATGGCCATCCAGCCTCTGTTTAAAAGCTTCCAAAGAAGGAGCCTCCACCACACTCTGGGGCAGAGAGTTCCACTGCTGAACGGCTCTCACAGTCAGGAAGTTCTTCCTCATGTTCAGATGGAATCTCCTTTTTTGTAGTTGAAGACCAAAAACATCTGGGGACCCCAGGTAGAGAACCACTGCCTTATGGGAATCTAGTTGGCTGCTATATGGCGTATGTCGTGGCCAGTTGATTAGATTCGGGAGGTGCATGGGCCTCTCCTCTGATCCAGAAGGGCTTCTTTCCTTCTAGTTTGAAGCCATTGTTCCATTGCATCCTAGTCTCCAGGAAAGCAGAAAACAAGCTTGCTCCCTCCTCCCTGTGGCTTCCTCTCACATATTTATCCATGGCTATCATATCTCCTCTCAGCCTTCTCTTCTTCAGGCTAAACATGCCCAGCTCCTTAAGCCGCTCCTCATAGGGCTTGTTCTCCAGACCCTTGATCATTTTAGTCACCCTCCTCTGGACACATTCCAGCTTGTCAATATCTCTCTTGAATTGTGGTGCCCAGAATTGGACACAATATTCCCGGTGTGGTCTAACCAAAGCAGAATAGAGGGGTAGCATGACTTCCCTAGATCTAGACACTGAGATTTACACACTGAGATGTGTAGCGCAGACTATCCGTGAGTTGAATGCATTGCAGAACAATTTAAAGAGATTGCTGTCATGTTAGAAATCTCTTTTTTGCACCTCGTCTCAAAGATGTTGCTCTATCTATGTCTTTGTTTACGTCTTAACTCATAGAAGTAGCGAGGGAGTTTTGGAAGCCCTTGTAGTTAACATTCCTCCTGATGTTATTTTCCTTTCTATGTCTTTTAGACATTTATCTTCACGGACGGAGAGGACGAAGAGCTGAAGAAAAGGACAGGTGAGTGGGCCAAGGGCACCTTCCCATCAATGTCCCTCACTTTGGAGCCGGATTGGCCTGGTGCTGGAGTTCCCAGGGAATTAACTTTTTTAATGCAGGGGGGATTTACTGAGTTAGTGTTTATTGAGCAGCCCTTCCCTCCATTGAGACTGGGGCGAGATCCCTCTATTCTTCTCATGCTAATGCGCTCTATTCAGGCCCGGCATTGACGCCCCAGAGAGTAACAGGTGGCAGCTGATGGGAAAATGCAGTCTGAACAGGAGGACAAGGGTTTTTCCTAGCTTGCCCCCCTCTGGCCCCCAATAAAAGGTCCAGTTTGCATGCTAACCCCCCCCCCCCCTTACTTTTCCTGAGTTAACACTTGCTGGGCTTGGTTTGGAAACAAAGGAAGATCTCTTGCGCCTAACAGCTCACAGTCTGGAGGCGCATGCAGTCTCTCCTTCCAGAGCCTCTTAGGAAAGAGAGTTGATACAAAAGTCCACAAATGTGATTCCATGGATAACAAAAAAAGACTAATGATTGAGTTCTAGAGCAAATCAAGCCCCAATCCTCCTGAGAAGTGAAGAGAATGATATATTTCAGACACATCATGAGAAAATATGACATTCTAGATAAGACAATGAAGCTTGGTAAGGTAGAAAACCGTAGGAACAGAGGTTGACTACAAAACAGGTGGGCAGACTCAAAGAAAGCCCTGGTTTTGCAATACCTGAGTGACTTGGAGGTCTTCTACATCGGGGCTCCATAAGTAGAAATTGACTTGTCAGCAGTTAACACCAACAAGGGGAAGCCCTCGGTGGTGCAAGGGGTTAAACCCTTGTGCTGGCAGGACTGCTGACCAAAAGGTTGGCAGTTCAAATCTGGGCAGCAGGGTGAGCTTCCACCTGCCAGCTCCAGCTTCCCATGCTGGGACATGAGGGAAGCCTCTGACAGGATGGTACCTCATTCTAGCGTCCCCTGGACAATGTCTCTGTAGACAGCCAATTCTCTCACACCAGAAGAGAAACGAGCTCCCACCTGTCAGCTCCAGCTTCCCATGCGATGTTACCATCCTACAGGATGGTAACACATCCAAGCATTTCCTGGGCAATGTCTCTACAGACAGCCAGTTCTCTTACACCAGAAGCGGGGTGAGCTCTCACCTGTCAGCTCAGCTTCAGCTTCCCATGCAGGGAAATGAGAGAAGCCTCTTACAGGATGGTAATACATCTAAGCATCCTCTGGGCAACGTCTCTGCAGACAGCCAATTCTCTCACACCAGAAGCGGGGTGAGCTCTCACCTGTCAGCTCAGCTCCAGCTTCCCATGCAGGGAAATGAGAGAAGCCCCCTACAGGATGGTAACACATCCAAGCATCCCCTGGGCAACGTCTCTTCAGACGGCCAATTCTCTTACACCAGAAGTGAGGTGAGCTCCCACCTGTCATCTCCAGCTTCCCATGCAGGAACATGAGAGAAGCCTTTCACAGGATGGTATCTCATTCGAGCATCCCCTGGGCAGCTTCTCTGCAGACAGCCAATTCTTTCACACCAGAAGCGGGGTGAGCTCTCACCTGTCAGCTCAGCTTCAGCTTCCCATGCAGGGAAATGAGAGAAGCCTCTTACAGGATGGTAATACATCTAAGCATCCTCTGGGCAACGTCTCTGCAGACGGCCAATTCTCTCACACCAGAAGTGAGGTGAGTTCTCGTCTGTCAGCTCTGGCTTCCCATATGAGGACATGAGAGAAGCCTCCCACAGGATGGTAACACATCGGAGCATCCCCTGGGCAACTTCTCTGCAGACAGCCAATTCTCTCACACCAGAAGTGGGGTGAGCTCTCATCTGTCAGCTCCAGACTCCCATGCAGGGACATGAGAGAAGCCTCTCACATGATGGTACCTCATTTGCGCGTCCCTTGGGCAACGTCTCTGCAGACAGTCTGGCAGCTCAGCTCCAGCTTCCCATTCAGGGAAATGAGAGAAGCCTCCCACAGGATGGTAACACATACAAATATCCCCTGGGCAACGTCTCCGCAGACAGCCAATTCTCTCACATCAGAAGCAGGGTGAGCTCCTGTCTGCCAGCTCCAGCTTCTCATACAGTGACATGAGAGAAGCCTCCCACAGGATGGTAACACATCCGGGCGTCCCCTGGGTGACGTCCTTGCAGACGGCCAATTCTCTCACACCAGATGTGACTTGCAGTTCCTCAAGTTATTTTTGACATGAAAAAAAACCCCCCAACAATGCATTCTTTTTAATTTTACTGTTGGTTATGGTTTTGCACGAACAATGAGAGTATCAGTATTACATCTCCCCGAGAAGATGTTTCTGCAGTGAGCAGAATCAAAAAGTCTGCCTATCTGTGCCACTAAGCTGAGATACTTGTGGGTGGGATGGGAACAAGGTGGTGTCCGAACTGTACTCAGGCTCAGGAAGGACTACAACTTTGATATATCATTTGTGGGGTTTCCAATGGTCCGATTCAGTCTGAAAAAGAGATCTGAAAGAATTTGGCAGCAGTTGCAGATTATATGACCTGCCTCAAAGGGTAGAAAATCCCACCAAGTTTCAAGCCAAGCTTCAAGGGAACTGTCCATGGTGCTGAAGATTTTCCTCGAGCTAGGCCTAGCACCCTGGATAGCTCCGTGAAAACTATTGCCTTGGTGTCATGGCTGCCACCGTTTGGCAGACTGTACATTTCGATGATCCCAAATTGAAGGTTAATTCCTATTCCTTCTTTCTCCGCCACAGCAAACGTCATTAACACCAACTGCTCAGCCGCCCACAGTCGCCAAGCCCTGTCGTGCAAGATGGCGGTGGAATACGACAAATTCATCGAGTCTGGAAGAAAGTAAGGCAGGAGAAGGGCTGGGGTGGGAAATTTGAAGATTTTGTTATATTCTATATGTGCCACTCTCCCAGTTTCTTTTTTCCAAACTTGAGTTGAAAATAAGATTAATATAGGACTATAATTTGGTTGGGGTCACCATGTTTAATTGGTTAGCAGTTGACCCACATTAATAGTATATTCAATGGAAATGTTGAGTGTGGTCTTCCAATAACTTGTACAATACCCAATATGGAATTGGCTGGGAATCATGGAGACATCATGGATGTTGTTGCATCGCAGCTACTAACAGTCGTAGCCAGCCTAGTAGATCATGAATGCTGGGAGTTGCGATCCAAGATTTGGTGAGCTATATGAGTCCCATCCCTTGGATAGATGGAGATGAAGAAGAAGGCAATCCTGTATCCAGTTGTGTATCCAAAGCCAGTTGTACTTAAGTGTGTGTGGGAGATCTCTTGGATATACGACTGCGGATGTTAGTTTTCCTAATTGACTGAAGGATCCTGCCATACCCATATTGGAGTGGCTCAAATCCCAAATACAATGCCATTAGTGAATTCTGCTTTGCTGCCTCAGAATGTAGTGGAGCCTCCTTCTGTGGAAAAATTTAAGGAGAGGCTGGGTGGCCATCTGTTGGGAGGGCTTTGATTGTGTCTTCCTGCCTGGCAGAAGGGGGTTGGACTGGATGTCCTTTAGGTTCGCTTCCAACTCTAGGATACTATGGATGGGAGTTTGAAATATGACTTTAACTGTATGAGGGTTGAATGAAAAGTAATGCCTCCACCTTCATTACTTGGGTTTGGATGGGATATTTTAATAAATCAAACACAGAAATAATCCTTAGAATGTATTGTCGAAGGCTTTCATGGCCGGAATCACTGGGTTGTTGTAGGTTTTTCCGGGCTATATGGCCATGTTCTGGAGGCAATTTTTCTCCAGGACATGGCCATATAGCCTGGAAAAACCTACAACAACCCAATCCTTAGAATGTGCTCTTTAACTTGCTTGAAATTTCTCTCTGAGTGATACGACGATCATCCTGAATCAATCTGTCAACCTTTTGCTTGTGAAACTCGATGGTTGCTGTCACACAAGTCAGATGTTCCCACCTCAACATCTTTAAACTTACTCGCCCAACGATGCACAGTACTCACATCAACACAATCACCATAAACAGCTTGCATTCTCTGATGAATCTCCTTTGGGGTGACACCTTCTGCTGTCAAGAATTCAAAAATTATAGCACATTGTTTAAGTTGCATTGACCGACCGTCTGCGCAGGGTTCCATACTTCGCACTATAACAACACAACCATTCAATGCTAAGGCTCCCCGCCAAAATGGAACTGCAGAAAAGAGTCTACTGAACAAGCCAATACCTGCCGCATACCAGTACTGCCATCTGTTGAGGAGTTACGAAGGTGGAGGCATTACTTTTCATTCAACCCTCGTATTTATTGCGTTTTAACTTTATGTTGATATTTAATTGTTGATGTTTTTGGTATTGTTTCAAATTGTTGTTAGATTTGTATGGTTGCTGGTTGCCTTGATTCTCTGTGGGGAGGCCAATGGGATATAGATAGTGATAATAACAACCACGACAACTCAACTGCTTCTTGTTGTCGTTGCTGCATTAGGTGGTTTTGCCATGTGGACGATGACAACTATGTCAATGTACGGATGCTGATCAAGCTGCTCTCCAGTTATCCCCACACACAGGACATCTATATTGGGAAGCCCAGCCTGGACAGGCCCATTCAGGCCACAGAGAGGATCAGCGAGAACAAAGTGGTGAGTCGGCAGACAGAGCTGTAAGTCCCAAAGATAAAAATCAAGAGCTGGGATTCATTATTACTGTTACAGAAGCATAACCTGAAGTTACGCATCAGTAACTGATTCATATTCATAGTCCCAATCCCTTTTAATGGCGTTCCATGCAGTTATGCAGGCCACATGACCTTGGAGGTGTCTACGGACAATGCCAGCTCTTCGGCTTAGAAATGGAGATGCGCACCAACCCCCAGAGTCGGTCACGACTGAACTTCATGTCAGGGGAAAACTTTATCTTTACCTATCTAGAGCCTTTGGTGGCACAGTGGGTTAAAGCACTGAGCTGCTGAACTTGCTGATCGAAAGGTCGCAGGTTCGAATCCAGGGAGCGGGATGAGCTCCCACTGTTAGCCCCAGCTTCTGCCAACCTAGCTGTTTGAAAACATTCAAATGTGAATAGATAATCGGTATCGCTCCAGCGGGAAGGTAACAGTTCTCCATGCAGTCATGCTGGCCACATGACCTTGGAGGTGTCTATGGACAACGCTGGCTCTTTTGCTTAGAAACGTAAATGAGCACCAACCCCCAGAGTCGGACGCGATTGGATATGATGTCAGGGGAAAACCTTTACCTTTTCATAGAATCATAGAATCAAAGAGTTGGAAGAGACCTCCTGGGCCATCCAGTCCAACCCCCTGCCAAGAAGCAGGAATATTGCATTCAAATCACTCCTGACAGATGGCCAGGATAGATTGAGATGGCGGACTACAGATGGCAGGCTACAATGGCTATTTCTTTTAATGCTGTAGTTTTAGCATTTTGAGACCACCTGAATTACTCTGGGGTGAGAAGGGCGGGGTAAAAATGCTGTAAATAAATAAAATTTGGCTTCCTATTATGGAATATCAAACAAGGTCATTCTGTTGGCTGTTGTACTGGATCACACATCAGACACTTCCCAAGTGTCTAGGACTGTGTGATGTATCAGCAAATAATACGTGGAGATTCCAGTAGGGTGGCCTTTTGCAGCTGACAGATGGGTAATTTGTGTGTTTAAGTGCAGGCCAAGGTCTTGAGGCACTGCATCCAGTGTGTCAATCACCACTGGGACCACCTTGACTGGCTTGTGCCAGAGTCTTAGCAGTTCGATCTTTAAATCCTCGTATCGTGTCACCTTTTCCAGTTGTTTCTCTGGAAACAATTATAATAAATAATTATAATTAATTATAATTATAGACCTCACTACCTCTGAGGATGCTTGCCATACATGCAGGTGAAACGACTGCCTCTAGAACATGGCCATATAGCCCGAAAAAACCTACAACAACCCAATAATAATTATTATTATTTGATAGAGCTTAGTTTGTAACAGGAAAACACTTGGAATTGGCTTTAATTCTTGTTTCTTTCACTCTTCCTGCAGCATCCTGTACACTTCTGGTTTGCTACTGGTGGTGCTGGTTTCTGCATCAGCCGTGGACTGGCGTTGAAGATGAGTCCCTGGGCTAGGTAAGGCAACTCATAACACAATGCAATGTGTCCATTTTTATAGAGTTTTTAGGACTACATTCCCCTTGCAGCTTAGCACTGATGGGTATTGTAGTCCCCATGCCACTTGAAGATCCATCTCTGAGCTGACACCTGTCACTTTGCTGGAAAGATAACTTCATAACAACTAGTGTTTCGCTATTAGGAATGGGTAGGATTGCTGTGTGTTTTTGCGTCTCTTGGAACCATGCTTTGAAGTCGGGTTCACTCATTTAACGGTGGTTAAATTCAGCGTACTAGTCATCCTTAACTATGGATACAACTAACATGAGAAGAAGAGTAAGAGATTCGTGGTAGTGAGGGAAAGAAGCATTCTAAATGAAATGCAAAGATACAGAATGGGGGACAGTGCCTGGCTCGAGAGCAGTACGTGTGAAAAAGATCTTGGAGTCCTCATGGACAACAAGTTAAACATGAGCCAACACAATGTGATGTGGCGGCAAAAAAAGCCAATGGGATTTTGGCCTGCATCAATAGGAGTCTAGTGTCTAGATCTAGGGAAGTCATGCTCCCCATGCTCTATTCTGCCTTGGTTAGACCACACCTGGAATATTGTGTCCAATTCTGGGCACCACAACTGAAGAGAGATATTGACAAGCTGGAATGCAAAGATATGGAATGGGGAATGCCAATTGAAGGGAGATTTTGACAAGCTCTGTATCCAGAGAAGGGCAACTACAATGATCAAGGGTCTGGAGAACAAGCCCTATGAAGAGTGGCTTAAAGAGCTAGGCATGTTTAGCCTGGAATATTGTGTCCAATTCTGGGCACCACAATTCAAGAGAGATATTGACAAGCTGGAATGTGTCCAGAGGAGGGCGACTCAAATGATCAGGGTCTGGAGAACAAGCCCTATGAGGAGCGGCTTAAGGAGCTGGGCATGTTTAGCCTGAAGAAGAGAAGGCTGAGAGGAGATATGATAGCCATGTATAAATATGTGAGAGGAAGCCCAGGGAGGAGGGAGCAAGCTTGTTTTCTGCTTCCTTGGAGACTAGGATGCAATGGAACAATGGATTCAAACTACAAGAGAGGAGATTCCATCTGAACATGAGGAAGAACTTCCTGACTGTGAGAGCCGTTCAGCAGTGGAACTCTCTGCCCCGGAGTGTGGTGGCGGCTCCTTCTTTGGAAGCTTTTAAACAGAGGCTGGATGGCCATCTGTCAGGGGTGATTTGAATGCAATATTCCTGCTTCTTGGCAGAATGGGGTTGGACTGGATGGCCCATGAGGTCTCTTCCAACTCTTTGATTCTATGATTCTACTAGCTTTACCCGCCACGCGTTGCTGTGGCCAACCTTCTCTCCCTCTTTCTCTCCTTCTTTCACTCCTTCCTTCATTCCTTTTCTTCTTTCCTTTCTTCCATAGCTTTTTGCTCCCATCCTTCCTTCTCTTTATTTCTTTCCTTCCCTCCCTCTTTCTCTCCTTCTTTCTCTTCTTCCTTTGCTCCGTCTTTCCTCCCTTCCCTTTTTTCTTTCCTTCCCTCCTCCTTCCTTCTCTTCCTCTTTCCTTCCTCCTCCCTTTTTATTTTTCTTCCTCTTTCTCTCCTTTCTTCCCTCTCTATCTCTTTCTTTCCTTCCTTCGCTCTTGACTTCCACACTTCCTTTCCTTTCTGAACATGAGGAAGAACTTCCTGACTGTGAGAGCCATTCAGCAGTGGAACTCTCTGCCCCGGAGTGTGGTGGAGGCTCCTTCTTTGGAAGCTTTTAAACAGAGGCTGGATGGCCATCTGTCAGGGGTGCTTTGAATGCAATATTCCTGCTTCTTGGCAGAATGGGGTTGGACTGGATGGCCCATGAGGTCTCTTCCAACTCTTTGATTCTGTGGTTCTATGAGAGTATTCTCACGTATATATAGCATGTAAGGCTACAGAAATAAATCAGGCAACTATGAATTGCATGCCTTCTTTAAATGATGCAAATCCAAGATCTCCTTTTGCTTCTTTTTGTGAAATGGACTTCCTCACTTGACCAAAACCTTCTGTAATCCCTCCACAGCGGCGGGCATTTCATGAGCACAGCGGAGAAGATCCGGCTCCCCGACGACTGCACCATCGGGTACATCATTGAATCCGTTCTGGGGGTGAAGCTGATCCGAAGCAACCTCTTCCATTCTCACCTAGAGAACCTCCATCAAGTGCCCAAGTCGGAGATTCACAAACAGGTAGCGTCAAGCAAACCTTCCTTCTGCCATCTTCCCATGGATCATTCATGGTCCTTCTGTGCCTGGTAAAAGCAGTGGGGAATGGGGAGAAGTATATGGATATGTCTCCATAGCCGTTTTGAGAGGAAACTGGAGGTATCTGGGTTTGTTGGATGGTGGGAAATTGGTCCATCTCTCATACAGTTGCTGGACTATATGATGCGTTATTAATGTGAGGGATTGTGAAGAGGTTGGAGCTTAATCCTCACATCCTAAATACGGATTTCCCCCTCCCTGCAGGTGACCCTGAGTTATGGGATGTTTGAAAACAAAAGGAATTCTATCCATATGAAAGGGGCGTTCTCGGTGGAGGAAGATCCGTCCAGGTGAGTGCCTCATTGCTCTGCAGACAAGCAAAGCTACGCAAAGTCCTCCTTAAGAAAAGGAACTAGAACTAAAGTTATTCCTGTTCGGGGTCTGGGGTGAGCCACAAACCATCATCTACAAGTCTGTAGTATTAGTCCCTACTACAAGCAAGTTTGTAGTAAGGAATAATAATAATAATAATAATAATCATCATCATCATCATCATCATCATCATATTGTCTTGTGGAAGGCTTTCATGGCCAGAATCTCTGGTTTGCTGCGAGTTTTCTGGGCTGTCTGGCCATGTTCCAGAAGTATTCGCTCCTGACGTTTCACCCACATCTATGCAATCATCCTAATAGGTTGTGAGGTTATTAGGAAACTAAGCAAGTGGGATTTATATATCTGTGGAATAATGTCCAGGATGGGAGAAAGAACACTAGTCTACTGTATACGATGCAACTATAGACAAGTCTACATAGGAACCACCAAATACAGCATCATCCAAACATGAATAAAAAAACATGAAAGGCACTGCGGACTGATTCAGCCAGAAAAGTCAGCCATGTCCAGGGTGGGAGAAAGAACTCTTGTTGCAATTGGCCACCTTGATTAGCATTGAATGGCTTTGCAGCTTCAAAGCCTGCCTGCTACCTGCCTGGAGGGAATCTATTGTTGGGAGGTGTTAGCTGGCCCTGATTGTTTCCTGTCTGAAATTCCCGATTTTTGAGTATTGTTCCTTATTTATTGTCCTGATTTTAGAGTTTTTTTTGTAATACTGGTAGCCAGATTTTGTTCATTTTCATGGTTTCCTCCTTTCTGTTGAAATTATCCACATGCTTCTTGTGTATTTCAATGGCTTCTCTGTGTAGTCTGATGTGGTGGTTGTGAGAGTGGTCCAGCATTTCTGTGTCCTCAAATGATATGCTGTGTCCAAGTTGGTTCATTAGGTGCTCTGTTATGGCTGACTTCTCTGGTTAGGTTAGTCTGCAGTGCCTTTCGTGTTCCTTGATTCGTGTTTGGGCAATGCTGTATTTTGGGGTCCCTATGTAGACTTAGAATCATATTGGAAGAGACCTCATGGGCCATCCAGTCCAATCCCGTTCTGCCAAGAAGCAGGAAAATTGCATTCAAAGCACCCCTGACAGATGGCCATCCAGCCTCTACTTAAAAGCCTAAAAGACTTGTCCACAGCTGCATGGTATACAATATACAAGAGTTCTTTCTCCCACCCTGGACATTATTCCACAGATATATAAACCCAATTTTCCCAGTTTCCAACAGACCTCACAACTTCTGAGGGTGCCTGCCATAGATGTGGGTGAAACATCAGGAGGTAATACTTCTGGAACATGGCCAGACAGCCTGGAAAACTCACAACAACCCAGGGATTCCAGCCTTGAAAGACTTTGACGACACAGTGTTGTTGTTTAGGTTGTTGTTGTTGTTATTGTTGTTGTATTATTCCTTACTACAACCTTGCTGGAGACTGGTAGATGATGGCTTGAAGCTCAGCCTAGTTACCTTTCTTACAGTAGAAGTATTCTAGTCTACACATGTTTATGCTGCAATGCAGTTGCTAGGCCTATTAGGTGTAGATGACTCTTTGTCCCAGCTGCTCCTCTGGAAAAAAAAAGTTATAATTGTAAGGCTGTTGCTGATTTAATTTGGTTGCAGATTTTCAGTAAGATAATGATCTGATCATTCAACAACCAGTCATCACGGTCCCAGAAACTCTTGCAATGTTTTGATGCAGTCATGGAGCTAAGGCTCCACATCACCAGCATTGCAAGAGTTTCTGGGACTGTGATGACTGCTTAACCTCCTCGCGGCCTTGAATCTCAAAGGTGTGGTGCTTCAAGGGCAGTGCTGAATATTCCTCCTTTTTTCGTTTGCAGGTTCCGCTCCATCCACTGCCTGCTGCATCCGGACACTCCTTGGTGCCCTTCGAATGTCGCTTACTAAGAGACAAGGCGCCCCCCTTCGTAACTTCGTCCCGCGTCTCCCCGGTATCCGAAGAGCGCGTGGGACCCATGTATTCGTGTCGTTGTTTCTCCCTTTGCTGTGAAGCGGTTGGCTCTTTAATTACTGTGGTTCATCCACAGTGTGTGCGTTGTATAGGCTGCTGTGCGGCCCGGTCTTCCTTCTTCTGCTCTCTCCAGGCAGGCTGAGTGTGTTGAACATGTTTGTGATGCATATTGTGTGTGTGTATGTATGTATGCATATATATATGTATATGTATGCGCACACATCTTTTTATTGGGGCAGGGGATACACAGATAGGATAGAATGAATGCTCTCAAGTCACAGAATCGTAGAATTACAGTAGAGTCTCGCTTATCCAACCTTCGCTTATCCGACATTCTGTCATATCCAAGGCTCCCCTTTTCCTCCAGCATTTTCCCATCAATTAAAAGAATGCTCGCCAACTTTCTCTCCATTCCCAATAAGACAAGAAGGAAGAGGAGGGAGGGAAAGGGGGAAAGAGGATGAACAGGAAGCGGAATTTACTTATTATTTATTTAATAGTTTTGTATACCGACCTTCTCACCTCTCTTGAGAGACTCAGACCGGTTTCCAACCATAATATCACATACAATCAATAAAACATCATAATACATATTACAGTAAAACATTAAAACAGCAATTACAATCAGTAACTATAACGGTCAGTTGTCACACTAAAATCGTTGCTCATCATCCTCCATCCATATCTCAGGGTGTTGGCTCACCCGTCGCCTGTCTCCATAACCAAGTCTTCACCTGTTTCCTAAATGTCAGGATAGACAGGGCGGTTCTGATCTCCAGTGGGAGAGAGTTCCAGAGTCGAGGGGCCACCACCGAGAAGGCCCTGTCCCTCGTCCCCACCAGATGTGCTTGCGAGGCCGGTGGGACCGAGAGCAGGGCCTCTCCAGACAATCTTAATCATCTTGAAGCATCCTCCCTCCTTCCCTCTGTGATTTCCACACTCCTCTTCCGCATCCAGTCACCTTTCTGGCCCGTCTAGCCCTGGGGCGTTGCCTTGCCTTAACTCTTTGAGTCCCTTTTGTTAGTATTCTAGGTGTCTAGTGCGTATCAAATGAGTAACAGCAGAAGACTCCATATTATCCGACATTTTCATTTATCCGACGTCCTGCCGGTGCATTTATGTCAACTAAGCGAGACTCTACTGTACTTACCTTTGGCAACGGAGTAAATACTAACCAGTACTAGGTTAGAAACAGGAACAAAAGGCACAATCTAGCCTAAATTAGGCACTTCTTTTCACACTGCATGCCTTTCACCATAGAAGCCAAGTTTTGTACTGAATTCAGCCTCTTTACAGTGGACTTGGGTGGTAATGAGCAGGTGTTAATCACGTCACCACCCTTCAACAATTGCATACTTTCCAGATGTGTTGCCCTTCAGCTCCTCCAATCATCCTTTACTAAGCTTTGATGTTGCTGCTGCTTGCAGAGAATGGGACTTGTAGTCCTAAGTCTGGAAGGAAGGAAATGGAGAGGCTGTCCCAGAAACGCATCTATCTCCCTCTTGTCTTCCTTTTCCTTGTCCTGTTATGCTTGTGAGGCTCCGGGAAAAGTCTTGAAATGAAGGTTTACATACTATACTTTGTGAGTTTTTGGAAAGTTTTACTTTGTAGTGTTAAGCTATTGTTTCTTCCTTATGTATGTGTATATATATATGAGTTCTGGAGAGCTGCTTTTCATCAGTTCGGAATTCAGAGCTGGACTAATGTATACTCCTGTATACATTAGCACAGGCATGGGCCAACTTTGGCCCTCCAGGTATTTTGGACTTCAACTCCCACCATTCCTAACAGCCTCAGGCCCCTTCCTTTTCCCCCTCAGCCGCTTAAGCCCATGCCTATGTTAGCATCTGCGTGTAGCATCCCTGTACATATGCTCTGGAGCAGTGTTACTCAACCTTCCTAATGCCGCGATCCCTTAACACACTTCCTCATGTTGCGGTGACCCCCAACCACAAAATTATATTTGTGGCTACTTCATAACACTAATTTTGCTACTGTTATGAATCGTAATGTTAAGTATCTGATATGCAGGATGCATTTCCATTCACTAGACCAAATTTGGCACAAATACCCAATACTCCCAAATTTCAATACTAGTGGGGTTGAGAAGGGATTGATTTTGTCATTTGGGAGTTGTAGTTGCTGGGATTTATAGTTTGCCTACAATCAAAGGGCACAAATACCCGATATGCCCAAATTTGAATACTGGGGGGGGGGGGATTTTGGGGGGGGAGGTATTGATTTTGTCATTTGGGATTTATAGCTCACCTACAATCAAAGGGCATTCCGAACTCCACCAGTGATGAAATTGAACCAAACTTGGCACATGTCCAATAGAAAATACTGGAAGGGTTTGGTGGGCATTGACCTTGAGTTTGGGAGTTGTAGCTCACCTACCTCCAGAGAGCATTGTGAATTCAAACAATGATGGATCTGGACCAAATTTGACACAAATCCTCAATATGCAGGATGCATTTCTGATATGCAGGATGCATTTCCATTCACTGGACCAAATTTGGCACAAATACCCAATATGCCCAAATTTGAATACTGTAGGAGTTGGGAGGGGGGGATTGATTTTGTCATTTGGGATTTATAGTTCAACTACAATCAAAGGGCATTCCGAACTCCACCAGTGATGAAATTGAACCAAACTTGGCACATGTCCAATAGAAAATACTGGAAGGGTTTGGTGGGCATTGACCTTGAGTTTGGGAGTTGTAGCTCACCTACCTCCAGAGAGCATTGTGAATTCAAACAATGATGGATCTGGACCAAATTTGACACAAATCCTCAATATGCAGGATGCATTTCTGATATGCAGGATGCATTTCCATTCACTGGACCAAATTTGGCACAAATACCCAATATGCCCAAATTTGAATACTGTAGGAGTTGGGAGGGGGGGATTGATTTTGTCATTTGGGATTTATAGTTCAACTACAATCAAAGGGCATTCCGAACTCCACCAGTGATGAAATTGAACCAAACTTGTCACATGTCCAATAGAAAATACTGCAAGGGTTTGGTGGGCATTGACCTTGAGTTTGGGAGTTGTAGCTCACCTACCTCCAGAGAGCACTGTGGAGGCAAGCAATGATAAATCTGGACCAAACTTGACACAAATCCTCAATATGCCCAAATGTGAACACTAGTGGAGTTTGGGGGAAATAGACCTTAACATTTGGAAGTTGTAGTTGCTGGGATTTATAGTTCACCTACAATCAAAGAGCATTTTGAACCCAACCACCAATAGAATGAGGGCAAACTTTTCCACAGAGAATCCCCATGGCCAACAGAAAATACTGTGTTTTCTGATGGTCTTTGGAGACCCCTCTGACACCCCCTTGCAACCCTCAGGTTGAGAAACACTGTTCTGGAGCATCCTTTCGAAACCTAACGCATGCCACTATCCACGTATCTTCCTCCTGAAAGTCTGCCATCCCAATCTCAGCCCCCGAAGAGCTGTACCCTTCCTTCTTCATCCTTTTTCCTTTCCCTAAATCCCAGTGTCGTATTTTGCTTCGTGGAGCCTTGAGCCAAGGTTTCCATTCCAAATGAAAAAGAGAAAGAAATGGCCCATACTGGGTGTTGTTTGTAAATATCTTATTGCTGCAGTATTATTTACTGTGCCTTTTTTTTTGGTTAAAGCAGAGGCCTATGTAGCTTTTTCAATGGTTTGACTTAAAAATTAACATATATATTTTTTCTGTGGATCGGAAAAGAAAAACACACGCTTCTGTAAAATCTGTTCCAAGAACGTAATGGAAGAAGTATTTTGTAATCGCCTGCTTGCCCTTAATTTATACATCCCAGTATCTGGGGTGTTGTTCCCTTCCTTCATCTTCTTCCATCAAAGTAGAAAATGTTTGTGTTCTGTCTTTGCTTAAGAAAAAAAAACCATGAAATAGAGATGTTTGGGGTGGAAAAATAACCTGGATCAATGTTCTCAGGGAATTAAACCTGATTGTTACCATGGAGTCTATGGTAGCCATCTTTGCTTTCAATAAAGCAGCTGGTTGGCTGATCGAAAGGACACGCGACTTGTGTTTTGTTTTGTTGGCACTTTGGGACAAAAACCACAAATCATGCTCTGCAAGATGCTGCATTGACAACATATCGAAAGGCTTAAAAAGCAACCCAAAGTTGGAGCGTGATGTCCATATTTTGATGTTTGCAGGTCATTCCATGTTGCTGTACACATCGAAAATACAAATCAGAGGTGAAATAAACGTGCCCCATGTAGCACTAACATATAGGAAACACTGAACGAACACCAAGCACAAAGTAGCTGCACACAACAACATCCTGTGGAAACTTACTAATACAACATGGGGTGCAGACCCAAAATTAATAAAACTTCATCCCTGGCCTGGTCTCACTCATTTGGTAAGTAATGGATCAGTAATTGGTTAAATGGACGAACCCAGAGGGTGATTCTCACCAATGCTTCCTCTTCATCCTGGAAAGAAGTGACAAGTGGAGTGCCGGAGGGTTCCGTCCTGGGCCCGGTCCTGTTCAACATCCTTATTAATGACTTAGATGAAGGGTTAGAAGGCAGATCATCAAGTTTGCAGACGACACCAAATTGGGAGGGATAGCCAATACTCCAGAGGACAGGAGCAGAATTCAAAAAGATCTTGACAGATTAGAGATGTGGGCCAAAACTAACAAAATGAAGTTCAACAGTGACAAATGCAAGATACTCCACTTAGGCAGAAAAACAAAATGCAAAGATACAGAATGGGGGACAATGCCTGGCTCGAGAGCAGTACTTGTGAAGGAGCATAGTGTCTAGATCTAGGGAAGTCATGCTACCCCTCTATTCGCTTTGGTTAGACCACACCTGGAATATTGTGTCCAATTCTGGGCACCACAATTCAAGAGAGATATTGACAAGCTGGAATGTGTCCAGAAGAGGGCGACTAAAATGATCAAGAGGTCTGGAGAACAAGCCCTATGAGGAGCGGCTTAAGGAGCTGGGCATGTTTAGCCTGAAGAAGAGAAGGCTGAGAGGAGATATGATAGCCATGTATAAATATGTGAGAGGAAGCCACAGGGAGGAGGGAGCAAGCTTGTTTTCTGCTTCCTTGCAGACTAGGACGCAATGGAACAATGGCTTCAAACTACAAGAGAGGAGATTCCATCTGAACATGAGGAAGAACTTCCTGACTGTGAGAGCCGTTCAGCAGTGGAACTCTGCCCCGGAGTGTGGTGGAGGCTCCTTCTTTGGAAGCTTTTAAACAGAGGCTGGATGGCCATCTGTCAGGGGTGATTTAAGTGCAATATTCCTGCTTCTAGGCAGGGGCCCATGAGGTCTCTTCCAACTCTATGATTCTGTGATTCTATGTCTGCCTTGTTTAGCTCAAATCTGCCCACACAAAGCAAGTGAATATAGCACTGAATCAGGCATGTAGAACAATGGTTCCCAACCTGTGGTCCGTACTTACTTACTTAGGCAATCCCTCGTTGTCCGAGTAGGATTGTCTTCCAAGATCAGTGTCCTGGTGGTGGGTCCGTAGGTGACTGTGGAGCCCTATTCTTGACCTGTATGTTCTCCTGGAGTGAGGACATCAGTTCCCAGGTGGAAGGCGGTCCCGGTAGGGGTTGGCTTGATGTGCCTTCCTCTTGGCACAATTCTCTCTTTGGCCCTTCATTTGTGCCTCTTCAAATTCTACAGCACTGCTGGTCACAGCTGACCTCCAGCTGGAGCACTCAAGGGCCAGGGCTTCCCAGAGTTTTTAAGGTTGGCTTTGTGCCCGTCTTTAAATCTCTTTTCCTGCCCACCAACATTCCATTTTCCAGGTTGCTGTAGGCTTTTTCGGGCTATATGGCCGTGGTCTAGAGGCATTCTCTCCTGATGTTTCGCCTGCATCTATGGCAAGCATACTCAGATGCAGACGAAACGTCAGGAGAGAATGCCTCTAGCCATGGGGGAGGGGGGGGGGGGAGGGGGGAGGGGGAGACGGGGGGGGGGGGGGGGGGGCGGGGTGGGGCGGAAAATGAAAAAAAACCCCAAAAAAAGCTGTAGGATACAACGCAGTGATTCTGGCCATGAAAGCCTTTGATAATACATTCCATTTTCCGTTCTTGAATTTGGAGCAGAGCAACCGCTTTGGGAGATGGTGGTTGGGCATCTGGACAACTCCAGCGGAGTTGATGGAAGAGGAGCATCGCTTCAATGCTGGTGGTCTTTGCTTCTTCCAGCATGCTGACATTTGTCCGCTTGTCTTCCCAAGAGGTTTGCAGGATTTTTTGGAGGCGACGCTGATGGAATCGTTCTGGAGTTGCATGTAACATCTGTAGATAGTTTCGCAGGCATATAGCAGGATTGGGAGGACAATAAACAAGCACCTTGGTATTCCTACGGATGTCCCAGTCCTCAAACACTCTTTGTTTCATTCGGAAAAAAATGCTGCACTCGCAGAGCTCAGGCGGTGTTGTATTTCAGTGTCAATGTTGACTTTTGTGGAGAGGTGGCTGCCAAGGTAACGGAAATGATCAACATTTTCTAATGTTACACCATTAAGCTGTATTTCTAGCATTGGAGAGGGATTGGCTGGTGATTGGAGAGGTGGCTGACAAGGTAGCCAAAAGGAAGCTGGTCACAAGATACGTCTGAAGACTAGCTGCAATGGTGAGGAGGAATCAAAAGTTCAGCTCTTCACTTATCAACTCAGAGATCTGAAACGGCAAACTGGAAGGATTTCTGAATCCCTGGGAAGGCAGGCAGGCAGGCAGAACGGGCAGCCTTGAGCCGGATGATGGAACTGACCAAGTTTCCGCTGAAGGCTTTCTCCTGCAAACGGAGAGGCAGTGAACGCAGATGGAATAATTGGCCTTACAAGGAGGGAAGAGGGAGGCATAGGGTTGGAGAAGAGTTCAAAAGGTGAAGCAGCAGAATCTACTGAAGCTTTCACTGTCATCTCCTGCTCCTTGGCAAGAGGATCGCCTCTAGTCAAACATTTACGCAAGAGCTCCGGTGAGGCGCCATTTGTGTTGAAGCCGTTGGATGCACCCGATTGCATTTGTGTCCATTGCCATCAAAGATGGAAAACAACTTATGGTTGAACCCATGAGTGAAGCCATAAGTCCCTTAAAGTGGACCTCAAAACATACACAATTTAGTTCCAATGTACCAAATAGGATCTAATTTGAAAAAGGCAGGGTCATATTCCTCTTCAACTAAGCAAACATTGATTCAATCACA